ATTCGCTATAAACTAGTATAATGGTTCCCTTGCAATTTTTTTGCAGTACATGAACACGTTGAACTATTTAACAAATGAAACTTTCTCATCTATACCCTCGGACTTGGTATCTGATTTGCAACGGATGCTATCAACGAACGAGTCCTTTAGACCAACAGCATTAGATTTCACAGGTAGGAATGCCAATCTTCATTGGGTTTCATTGTTTCTTGTGAAAAACCTTACCTCATTGTCTGTGTGCTTACATCTTGTACTTGCAATTTCACCTGCAGGATCTAATTTTTTCCGAAGTGATACTAGGTTACGTGCCCTCCGTTTTCTGGATCATATGCTTGTATGTGTATTAACTTTTAATAGTTGTTTCAGACAGACATCTCTCAGATAGTGCGGAATATATAAACCTTTTTGGGGCAATTTTTTAATCTATTGCAGGAAAGGGACAACATGCAGAAGTCTGAGTTCTTAAAAGCATTATCAGATATGTGGAAAGATTTTGATTCTCGTGTATTGCGGTATAAGGTAATCACTTTCTGGCTTCTTTCACGTATTCTATTATGTAACAGAAAACAAATCAGCTGCTCAAGTGATGTGCCTTGTAACAACTAATCAAACCGGTTTTTTTAAGCAGGTGCTTCCGCCTCTTTGTGCGGAACTTAGGAATTTGGTTATGCAGCCTGTGATTCTTCCCATGGTTCTAACTATAGCAGAGTCTCAGGTGCTATTTCAAATCTTGGGTATTTACATTTGGTCAGTCGATCCATGTGTTTCTTTCCTCGGATTTTATTCAATTTCTAGATAAAATTTTTTTTTCTTGTGTGCCTATTTGTTACACGCACATATATTTTAGACCTGCTCTTTTCAGTTGTACAAATGGTGATTGTGCAAAATTGATACTGTCTATTGATCAACCTGTCATTTGTAGAAAGCTTGGAAGTTGCTTCGCATTGACCTTTGACAATGATTTCTTTTAAATCTTTACTCATGTTATAATGAATGCTTGTAAATTATTATTGGCAGGATAAGAATGACTTTGAGTTGACAACGCTCCCAGCCCTTGTTCCTGTGTTGAGTACTGCTACGGGTGACACTTTACTATTGCTTGTAAAGCGTGCAGAGCTTATAATTAACAAGGTAAGTCTCTGACCTATATGTATGCATCACTGGAATTATGTAGTTGAACCCTGTATGTGTCTGCTAAGTTTACGGATTTGGTTGACACAATGGAAAAACGCAAAGTAATTAATGTGTAATGTATAATGACATATGTAGTGTCGTTGCTTCAATTTAAAGTAAAAGGCAGTGCAACAACTTACATTGTTTTTTATGCTGCCGTAAAACCAATACAAGACCTTCGATTTCTCAAAGCTAACATATTTCACCCTTGACTTCTATTCATATCTGCTATTTGCTTCTCTACACCAATTCTAAATATGCTTAAAGTGGAATCACTTACCCTTATTCTTTTATCATCTTATGCCTTCATCTCTTCTTACTTCTGTGTTTTATATTTGTAGACTAATGCCGAGCATCTTGTATCACATGTCCTCCCTTTGCTTCTCCGAGCATACAACGACAATGATGTTCGGATACAGGAGGAAGTTCTGAAAAGATCTACATCTGTTGCTAAACAACTCGATGGTCAGGTGATGCTTGATGCTTTGTATTTTATGTTTTATTGGATAAATTTACCTGAATGGAGAATTTAAGCTTCGGGGTTGATGTGTGGATTACTCAAGCTTACTCTCACATGCATTTTAATTTTAGTTCTGCAGTGGGCAAGTTTTTGTTCCGCTCTTATTTTTTCCTTGTTTTTGCAGGTTGTAAGGCAAGCAATTTTGCCGCGTGTTCATGGCTTGGCCCTCAAAACCACAGTTGCTGCCGTATGTTATCAGCCTTGATTGGTTCAATTTGTGTGTTATTTTTAACATTGATAGATGAGATGAAGAGCCAATCTTTTAAACAAATTTTGAGTAGAACGTACATGTGGTGCAGGTTAGAGTAAATGCTTTGCTTTGCTTAGCAGAGCTGGTTCAAACGCTTGATAAACTTGCTGTTACTGAAATTCTGCAAACAATTCAACGCTGCACTTCAGTTGATCGTTCTGCACCTACCCTTATGTGTACTCTTGCAGTTGCAAACGCAATTCTCAAGCAGGTAGGTAGAAAGTACAGCTTACCTATCTCAATTATTTTTTGAAAGTTTGAACATCTTAACTTTCCCGCTTTTTATATCTGCATAGCTTATAACATAACTACATCTCTCATAGTACTCTCCATAATTTCTCTCTAGTTTGGAGTTGAGTTCACCTCAGAACACGTGCTTCCCCTGATTATACCGCTTCTCACTGCCCAACAATTGAATGTCCAACAGTTTGCCAAATATATGCTATTTGTCAAGGATATTCTCAGGTATGCCTGATGCCTCTGAGCAATCATGTCCCTGTTTCCAACTCCTTATCCCCCTTACAACTGCATACTATTTTTATTGTTTCCAATATCTGGTTTGTCTATCCTCTGGTCACGGAATAGGAAAATAGAGGAACAAAGAGGAGTTACTATAAATGATTCTGGAGTCCCAGAAGTAAAACCAGGCTATGTTGCGGATGGACTTCAGTTTCAAACACCAACCCAAAAGATTGAGAAGGTTGCTTCTGCAGCAAAGAACAGTCCTGCATGGGATGAAGACTGGGCCCTCCCAACCAAAAGTTCTGCTTCAAGAGATCTTCCTGGACCCGAAAACTCTCAGTTTAACAAGTCTACAGTTCAGTCACAGCCATTGAATCCAACCACAGTGCCAACAACATGCCCTGCAGTTGACCTAGAGTGGCCTCCAAGACAATCTTCCAATGTCACTTCTCAGCCAGCTAATGATGAGACACGGCTGAACCCAGAAGGAACATCATCGACTCCAAGTTTTGATGAACTAGACCCTTTTGCTAACTGGCCACCACGACCCAACGGTGCTTCCATTGCCTCTAGGGGTTTCCACAACAGTACTGCCACTCAACCACCAGTTAGCGACAGTGGTTCTGGTTTGAGTAACAATATAACAGATACTAGACAGTTTCAGACAGCTAACAACGACTTCTGGGCCTTTGGCAATGCCTCACTCTCTTCTATGAAATCACAGCAAGAAGGTTGGGGTATTAGCGCAAGTAAACCAGATCCTATGAACTCTTTAGGGATTCAGAATCAGAACCAAGGAACGGCGTCTTTCGGAAACAGTTCATACAGTAACCCAAAGCCGCCAGCAGACATCAGTTCCATATTCAGTTCAAGCAAAAACGAGCAAGCTGCAATGAAACTCGCACCACCGCCATCAATAGCTGTGGGAAGAGGAAGAGGAAGGGGAAGGGGTAGAAGTGGGACATCTACCTTAAAGCCAAGTGGTTCGAAACAGCAACAAACCGAGCAGTCATCGCTGTTGGATCTTTTGTGATGGAACCTTGGTCGAGATATCGAGTTGGGTAAAAAGACAGTTCCTGAAACCAGGCAGAGTCATGTGCAGAGTGAGCGAGTGGGTGATGCACAGAAGAAAAGAAACATTTTACCTGAGGTGGACATGTTTTGTTGATTCATTAGATTAAAAGTCCACCCTACACATCACAGCTGACAGGTCTCAGTAAATCGTGTTTCGTTAGTCACTCCACTATCGTCAGTAGTTTATATGTTCAATCGAAGTTTCTGTGCAGTGCCAATTTAATATATTGTATATAAAGTATTTTCCAGGAAACAATCAATCGTTGTACATAATATCTCCTAATTTTGATTAAGACTTTTATTAAACATTATTTGCAAAAAAAGAGTCGATCGTTATTGTACTTTTTGTCCTGCAAAACAGAAGTCTTTTTTAGGTTCGACTAAGCCAAGCCAACATGATATTTCTAAAGTTGTAGTGTACGTATATCTGTGTAGGTATAGTTTGATATACGAATTCTTATGGCGCATGACAGAGGATCAAATAACATTACATATGGTCATGGATGATGGATCTATCATCATATTTACACGTGCAGAGAGATTCAGGCGCGAATCTCCCTGTAGATGGAGATTTTGTTTTGCAACAAGAATCAAGATATCTATATTATGTAGAAGATTCATTTTGTGGGAGGAGATAAAGGTGTCTTTGTTTGCTTAGCTTTAAATCTCAGCTCTCTTTAGGTTTAAAGCCTTTTTTTATGCAAACCCTTTGAGTTTACCGTGGTTTTTATTACTTTTAATTTATTTCCTAATGATTGATTACCTTGTGCTAAATTTTCACCTGAACGTTTTAGAGCTCTTTCATGCCTTACCAATGTGAACCATGTAAGAAAAATCTTATAAATAATTATATGTTATTTTAACCAAATAGTTTCCACTCGAGAAGTAATTATGTAACTAATTCATCTTTCGATGTCTCACCTGGGTGGGCTAATCGTAAGGGTTGTAACTTGTAGAGAGTTGAAAATTGAAATCTATTATAAAAACAAAAAGAGTCTGAACATTTGTTTAATCTCATGCATGATATAATTAAAAACAAACAAGACGACAATAAAAGAAAGAGATTAAGGGGGATCATCATTTACGTGTTAATTACACTTTGACTTGAGATTTAATTTAAGACCAACTGACCCGGCGCCGTTATCTTGGCGCCATTTACGTTCTCTTTTGTCTCTTTTTCCTAAATCATAATCCCCAAAATCCCTAACCTAACTAAACTAAGATTTACCTAACTAAACCACCCTCTGATCATTCATACATTATTTATCCATCTCTTATAGTATATATATTTACAGAATACATAAGATTCTCATTACAGTTTACTATGGTGAAAGATTGAAACTAGGCTATCAAAAAACATTGAAACTAGGCTATCAAGAAATTAGCAATATATATATATATGAGAACTCATAGAGACAGACAGGCCTATGTTGTGTATCCAAATATCAGTTAATTAAGAAGATGAACATGTAACCTTACAATGGAAAGAAGATAAGAGATAATCAAGTCATGGAATGAGAGTACAGTTAAAAATATTTATTCAAATTCAATAAAATATAATAAGAGTTAGAAAAGGGGATTGCAACTGAAGTAAACTAAGAACCGTTTTTTAACAGTTAAGCTGAAATTCAAAAAAGCCATATTTTTCGCTCTAAACCTCATCAGCCTTGTTTCCATTCTCTTGCTATATATACGTGTGTGAACGAGCCGTACCCTCAAGCCAACACGATTACAAGAAATGGCTTCTCCTTTCTTCTTTGTGTTCCTTCTCTCTGCGCTTCTACTCCAACAAACCTATGCCAGTCCCAATTACAGAGAAGCACTCTCTAAGTCGTTGCTCTTTTTCCAAGGTCAGAGGTCAGGTCGCCTCCCTAGTGACCAAAAACTCTCATGGAGATCCAGCTCTGGCCTCTCTGATGGCTCCTCTGCTCATGTAAGACCCTAAACTGTAAACACATTAGCCGGTAAACATCCATTTTAATAACATGGTATGAGTTGCAGGTGGACTTGACTGGAGGCTACTATGATGCTGGGGACAATGTGAAGTTCAATTTCCCTATGGCCTTCACCACCACGATGCTCTCCTGGAGCTCTTTGGAGTACGGTAAGAAGATGGGATCTGAACTACAGAACTCTCGTGTGGCCATCCGTTGGGCCACTGATTATCTACTGAAATGCGCCAGGGCCACACCTGGGAAGCTTTACGTTGGAGTAGGAGACCCAAATGGTGATCACAAGTGCTGGGAACGCCCAGAAGATATGGACACTCCTCGCACAGTCTACTCTGTATCCCCATCAAATCCTGGCTCTGATGTAGCTGCTGAAACTGCTGCTGCTCTAGCATCAAGCTCCATGGTTTTCAGGAAAGTTGATCCCAAGTACTCTCGCTTGCTCCTGGGGACAGCGAAGAAAGTCATGCTGTTTGCCATTCAATACCGAGGCGCTTACAGTGATTCCCTTTCCTCTTCCGTCTGCCCTTTCTACTGCTCCTACTCTGGCTACAAGGTAGGCATTTATATGTATACCTTGATCTGAATCTGAGAGAGACCTATCAATTAATCATCGTAACTAAACTACCCTTATGATGACAGGACGAGCTGGTGTGGGGAGCAGCATGGCTGCATAGAGCAACGAACGATCCGTATTACACAAACTTCATAAAATCCTTAGGAGGTGGAGATCAGCCAGACATCTTCAGTTGGGACAATAAGTACGCTGGTGCCTATGTTCTTCTCTCACGAGTATGTAAAACTCAACCCTTAAAATTCATAGACACAACTTAGCATTTCCTAGCTGGCTCAACGATTCACAAATAAACACCTTTTGCAGCGAGCAGTACTAAACAAAGACAACAACCTTGAGCCCTACAAGCAAGCAGCTGAGAATTTTATGTGCAAGATCCTTCCTAATTCTCCCTCTTCGTCCACTAAGTACACTCCAGGTAACTTTAAAACGTTTTTCTTCGGACGCATTTCAACACTAATAACATGGATGATTACTAAACTACTTCTCCCCAAATTCAGGTGGATTGATGTACAAATTACCTCAGAGCAATCTACAATACGTGACATCGATAACATTCTTACTCACGACCTACGCCAAGTACATGAAATCCTCGAAACAAACCTTCAACTGCGGAAACTCAGTCATCGTCCCCAACGCACTGATAAACCTATCGAAGCGACAGGTGGATTACATCCTCGGTGTGAATCCAATGAAGATGTCGTACATGGTGGGATTCGGGTCCAATTTCCCGAAAAGAATCCACCACAGAGGTTCCTCTCTCCCGAGCCGAGCCGTCCGTTCAAACTCTCTGGGATGCAACGGCGGATTCCAATCTTTCCGAGCACAAAACCCCAACCCAAACATATTAACGGGAGCAATCGTCGGAGGACCAAATCGAAACGATGAATATCCAGATCAAAGAGACGATTACACACGATCAGAGCCAGCTACTTACATAAACGCCGCATTCGTCGGACCACTGGCGTATTTGGCCGGCGGCCGGTCGCCGTGAAATCGCTTCCACTCTCACTCAGCCCGTTAGATAAAATATAAAAACCTTACCGCGTAAATGGGTAAAAAGGCTATTTTTAAGATGGAAACTCTAATGGGCCTTAGGGTCCATTATTAGAAAGCCATTCATTGGCTAATTATGTACTAACTAAGTTACGGAATTGATCAGAACCGCATTTTACAATTACGCAGCAGCCAAGCCAAGCTAATACGTTTCTCGACTAGTTTATGCTAAAGCTTTGGCGCTAGACTTAAACCACACACTGCATGGGGCTGCTGGGCGATGTTGTCGATACACAATCACAATCACTTTTCATTTGGTGGATTGATAATACCAAAAGATGAATGAATGGGTTAAACCGAACATAGGGATGCACCAACCAAACAAATGGAATATGAATTGTCTTTAGATGGTGAAGTAGTTGTAAACGTATAATAATGATGATCGGAATGAATAAAATAGAGACAGGCTGTGAAAGAGAAGCAATGAAGTGAGAGAGAGAGAGAGAGCTGGCTTCCACGTTAACGTGCCGCACAATCACAGCTCATCACTGCCTTCGTTTTCTCTTCTTTTTATTTCACTTACCTTTTTTTGTCATTTTCCATAATTTCCAATATTTTTGTGGTTTCTTTTATTATCTCGAGGCAATTTCCCAATCAGTTCACAATTTGTTTTTTGGTTAATCAGGTTGACATTCTTTGTTTTAAATAGACTTCTTTTTTTTAATCAAAATTATATCACCTTGTATGCATTTTTATCGACCAAAAAAAGAATAGGAGAATATCAGATCTTTGTTTCGGAATTTTTTAACGAATATACGAATAATACGATAAAATCACATCATAAATCTCGAGAGAGAGAAAAGTACGATTTATATGGGGAAAACAAACAAAATATAAACACAAAGCACAAAATTTCGGAATTGTAAATTTCCGTAAAGAAAAAGGAAAATATTACTTTGGAAATAATATTAAAAAAAAAGTAAATAAACCTCTAATAAGTTTGTAAATTCAGAACCAATCCTTGTTCTTCTTCTTCCTCTTCGCTTTTCTGAAAACACAATTTTTGTGTCAATTTGAAGTCTCTTTGACTCTTCTTCCTTTGCTCCTTTTTTCACAGCCGCAACCGTTTTAAAACCTCTTCATATAGATTCCCAGAAGAAGACGAAAACCAAAACAAAAACAGAAACAGAGAGAGAGATTGGTGAACCGTGTACGCTTCGTCGTCAGTGATGCGGAGACGAAAGATATCACCGGAACATCTTTGCCCTCGATTACAGACTCATCGGCGACGGCTACTTTAGCACACCATATCCTCTTCTGGGTCGTCTTCTTCTTCCTTGGGATTTCTTCTTTGCTGCTGATCATACAAGCAAATCTCCTTTCTTTGGTTCTCTCTCTCTCTCTCTCAGGTGGTGAATTCTTACTCCGGTCGATTGTAATTAGATCTTGGGATTTGAATTCCTCATTTCATTTTAAAAGTCTTCATCTTTTGCTGGGCTTATATATACTACAAGTTGAGTTACTTGCACATTTCTAATTATGTATGTATTTTGCTGATATCAACACAGGGGCGTGCAATGCAAAGGTCGTGTAGAACTACTAGAACTAGAAGAAGAGTTTCTGATAGTAGTTCTAATGGAAGGAACAGTTTTTACAAAGTCTCTCTGTCTCTTGTTTTTCTCCTTTGGGTTCTTTCTTTCTTATCCACCTTGTGGATTAGTCATGGAGATGGTGGCAAAGGTAAACCTTTCAAGTTCCTTTCTTTTTTGTTGGAATCCAAACATGTATGTATATGAAGAACCAAAACTCTCTTTTGATCATTGTGATAGCATCTAGTCATAGAGGAATTTAAGCAATGGTACAATTGACTTCAATGTTTTGTTTACCACTAGCATATGAAGAACCAAACTGTTGTCTACTTGCAGATGCGCCTTTGACTGACTCTGTAGGAAAAGTTAATCTGGATGATGGTCAATCAGATGCGAAAGATGTGCCCTTTGATGCATCAACATTACTAGAGCCTGTTCATGATATATCTGACTTGAGTCCGAGGGATGATACAACCCCGTCTGAAGAAAGTGAAGACAAAGAAAAATCTGTGAAAGAAGCAGAGATCAATAGCACAGTCTCAGGGAATGATATAGAAATCACGGACAGTTTCATTTCAAAGCAAAGTGAGATAAACAAGCTAGATACAGGGAATGATGGAGAAAGCAAAGAGACTGACTTTTCGAAGCAAAGTGAGATAAACAAGATAGATACAAGGAATGATGGAGAAAGCAAAGAGACTGGCTTTTCGAAGCAAAGTGAGATGAACAATACAGGTATGTGGAATGATACACAAGGTAAAGAAGATAAAATTCAAATGAGCAAGACTGGCACAAAGAATGATACAGAAAACAAAGACAGTGAGTTTTTGAAGCAAAATCAGATGAACAAAACAGACTCAGGGAATGATACCGAGATCAAGGCTTCAAAGATTGATCAACCATCTCGAGCTGTTCCGCTTGGCCTTGATGAGTTCAAGAGCAGAGCGTCCAATTCTAGAAACAAATCATTATCAGATCAGGTCAGCGGTGTGATTCACAGGATGGAGCCTGGAGGGAAAGAGTACAATTATGCATCTGCTTCAAAAGGGGCAAAGGTCCTGTCTTCCAACAAGGAAGCAAAAGGGGCTGCAAGCATCCTAAGCCGGGATAGTGACAAGTATCTCAGAAATCCATGTACTACTGAAGGTAAATTTGTTGTCGTAGAACTTTCAGAAGAAACGCTGGTAAATACCATCAAGATCGCAAATTTCGAGCATTACTCTTCCAATCTGAAAGAGTTTGAGCTTCAAGGCACCTTGGTTTATCCTACTGATACATGGGTTCATATGGGGAACTTCACGGCTTCAAACGTGAAGCATGAGCAGAACTTCACACTGCTTGAGCCAAAGTGGGTGAGATACTTAAAGCTAAATTTCCTAAGTCATTATGGTTCAGAATTCTACTGCACCTTGAGTTTAATAGAAGTATACGGAGTGGATGCCGTAGAACGAATGCTGGAGGATTTGATATCTGTAGAAGTCAACAAAAACGCATTCAAAGCCCGAGAGGGAAATTTTGAGCAAAAGGAGAAGCCAGTGCAGCAATCAGAGTCCAGTGAAGGCGATGCTGGTGCTGATAGGAGCACGCAGAAAGAGAACGAGCGGGAAGCCCCAGAGGAGAATATGTTAGCGAAGACTGAAGCATCAATGGCAAAGAGTAGTAATAAGCTGGCAGAGCCCGTGGAAGAGATGAGGCATCATCAGCCAGGAAGCAGAATGCCAGGGGACACAGTGCTAAAGATACTGATGCAGAAGTTAAGGTCATTAGACTTAAACCTATCGGTTCTAGAGAGATACTTAGAGGAACTGAACACAAGATACGGGAACATATTCAAGGAGATGGACCGTGAAGCCGGTGTGAGAGAACATGCAATTGTGACTTTGAGACATGACTTGGAAGGTATGAAGGAAAGGCAAGAGAGGATGGTGAGTGAAGGAGAGGAAATGAAAGAGTGGCGAAAGAGAGTGGAAGCAGAGATGGAGAGAGCTGAGAAAGAGAAGGAAAACATGAGAGAAAGGCTCGAGCAAGTTTGGCAAAGACTTGAGTGGATGGAGAAGAAAGGGTTGATGGTGTTCACCGTGTGTCTTGGGTTTGGGACTATCGCTGTCATTGCAGTTGTGGTCAGTATGGGAACAGGTCGAGCAGAGAAGACTGGTGGTGGGGCTTGGATCTTGTTATTGATTAGCTCAGGATTCATTATGTTCGTTTTGTCTCTTTGATGAGAGTTTTGGTCTTTTTTTCTTTTCTTTTTTTTACACTCTAGAGAGCCATATGTTACTGATATAGGTGATTTGGATAGATACTGTTGCGACTCAATCTTGAACCGGTATTGAAACTGGAAACATACCAAACTGAGTAGTATACTACAATTTGCAATTTCCCAATCATTCAGTCTCAATTTGCGGATGTACGTAAAAAGTGAAAGTAAAGTGGGTGTTGAGTGGAAATGTAGTAGGTGAGTACTACTAACTAAGGGACCCGTGAGTGAGTAGTGTACTACAATTTCAACGACGCTTCGTTTTCTTAATAAGTTGTATGAGCTATGCTCTTGTTATATATGTATGTGTGGAATTGTTGTTGAGTAGACCACTTATTACATCTTAAGTTTTAACTAATGGCTACTAAGATATCTCAATTAGTTGTTTTTCTTCTCTCGTTGCTTCTTCTGCTCTCATTGATCTTTTCTCAGGTTGGAGTCGCTGACGCCAAACGCAACCAACGTTAGTATATTATTCAGTCTCTTGCTCTGCTTATTGGTCTTTTTGTTTTTCGTTTTTTAAGCAAGAATTCTACAATTATAATATAAACTCCCAGTATAATGGTTTTTTTTGAATTCTATACATTCATCAATCTTCTTAATTCTTTCAATTGTGATTTGTGAATCAAGATTGATACGTTTTCATGGTTATATCATGTTAAGGAAAAGTCGAAATTTGTTTTTTTTTTTATGAGTAAAGAAGTGTAGATGATCCAAAACTCATGGTGGGAATTATAAATCTGTTAATTAGCAGGTCAAGAACAGCGTTTGGATTATGGTCGTCCTCCCACGGCACCTATATATCTGCCGCCCTCTAAATCACGCAAAGGAAAAGGTCCATGAAGAAACTCTATATATATACTGGTCAAGACTCAAAGGTTGATGTTGTTATGATGATCTCATAGTTTTAGTTTAAACTTCTTGGATCATGTCACGATTTTTGGATATTATAACAGTGTTTGGTTATAAATATGTTGTCTGTTGTAGTGGTTTGGCCACATCTATGTTGTACGGAAGCTAATCAATGGCTAATTTTCCTCCACTGTTATCAATGCTCTACATCAGTGGCTAAATAACCATATATAGCTAGATCAGTGGCTACTTCATATGATTAATTAGGAGTATGCAATATTTTTAGTCTCACAGAAAAGAAAAAAAAAATGGGCTATATGACAAACTTTGCCTTGTTTTTATGACATTTCAGCACATAAAAAGAATATAGAAATGAGGACGTGAGCCAAGAGACTTTCGACATGTAAAAATTAAAAGACGCGTTGAATAGAAACGTAATCGGCGACTTGTACTTTTAAACGATGCTTATCTTTTCACACATTTGAAGATTTTCTATAATACTATATAAGTCATGATCAGCTGGTCTTGTTATGGGAGTTGTGAGAGAGTTGGAACACTTGAACAAAATGGCTGCCAAAACATCAAATCTTCTTCTCTCTTTGTTTCTTCTGCTTCTTTATGTTTCCTCACAAGTTGGAGGGGTAGCCAAAGTCCACTTACGTTAGTATATGTTACTCGCATTTTTCACTCTCGTTCCCTTCTTTAATTTGTTCTATATATACTAAGCATATCCATTCTGGTGTAGGTAACAAAGTGCGTTTGGATTGTGATTACAATCTTTATCCTCCTCCTCCTCCTCCTCCTCCTCCTCCTCCTCCTCCTCCTCCTCACATGGCACCTCCAATATTTGTACCGCCGTCTAAATCATCCAAAGGAAAAGGCCCATAAACAAACAATCTCCGTGTTTTCCGCAAGTTACCGAGAAGAAGTGATCAATCAAAGATTACATGCATGTAGAGAGTGTGTACGTGAAAGAAGACTGGTCAAGATTGTATTTTAAAAAAAAAAGAAAAACAATGAAAGGTCAAGATTATAAACTATGTCTTATAACAAGTTGGACCTTTTCAGACATGTGGGAATACATAAATCATATAACTTGTAAATATGACTATATATGTTGTAAGCTGTATAATAAAGTATGTTTAGATCAAATGTTCTCTTTTTTCTTAACAAACTGTTAATGCCAAGTAAATACATTGTACCCGACCACGGCATCTTTATCAACAAGAGCTTATAAGACCATTCTCAATAGTAGTATTTTAAGGGGTATCTTAAGGTAAGATACTACTATTGAGGATGTCCTAAGTGTTTTGGCTATGCGTAACCTCTAGAAATCTGATTGAGAGAAACTAGGATGAGAAAGAGTGATCTTCCGACTCCTTCGGGGAGTTGGCTTGGAATTTAACCACACCATGCATATGGATTAATTCTTGCTAGCTTTTTATATTAAGTCTTGGTTGAGTGGATATATATTATAGGTACAAGTGATCGATCCCTTCAATAGAGAAGATAATCTACTGTACAGTATAAAACTTGTACCTTTTATCTATTTTCTGACTTTTTTTCAAACTATAGTTGGTGAATGCCCCATTGATAACACATCAATTTGTATTATAAAAATGCATATAAGTTCGATAATTTGATTTACAAGCTGTGATGATACAAGGGATGCCTCACACGTACGTCATCTCCACAAGTATACACAAATAAACTAAAAACTGCCTTAAGCTTTAATTGGCCCAAAATGAAAAAAGTATAATCAAATCTTGCAATTTTCTCATAATCAGTTTATACAACCACAACTTTATCTCTATAAGACCAATGGTTCGCATACCATTCCATGCTGGTGGGTGAATTTTCGAATCACAAAGTATAAATATTTCAACTATACAACCGTTCCTTAAATTTGACCAACCAGATATGGGTTGGTATGAGAGAATTATACATGTATAATCTAGCTACACAAAATTGAGGAAATAAAAACATTGTCATAACACCTTTATTACTCCCTTTAATTAATTGAAAACGTACCCGGGGGCATGAGATAATCCAATTCATAAAAAGCCTCAATTTCTCACGCATGTGCACTCGCGTCACGACCAGACAGATCATTGAGCTATAGAGGCTTTGCGTGAGAGACACGAGCTAACAAGTGCGTAGATGATGTTTGGATATCGTGGGCAATATTGTCTGTCTGTATAAAATTAAATTTACGTCCAATATCTTTCTCTCTGTATCACTTTCTTATTATTTTATTTTCGGTTTCTTTTTTCTTTTTTTTCTTCTCTTCCTTCTCTTCTTCTTGTTCTCATTACATATCAATCAACCCTAAAAAAAAAAAAAAGCTTATCTTAAAAATCCTATAAGTAGATCTCTCTAATCTCTTTTCTACTATTTATATAGACTCCTTTGTTGTAGCCTACTTCTTGCATATTAACCTAAGTGAAACATATATAGTGATAGAGAGAGATATAGCTAAAGATTAGCTATTTGGGGTTTTAATTATATTCCTAGCTAGAGAGTATTGATCGGAGACACATACAAAAAAAATGGCGGGAGGAATAGGGTTGGGAGATACGACGTACACGAAGGTGTTTGTGGGAGGACTAGCTTGGGAGACGCAGAAGGAGACGCTCAAGAAACACTTTGAGCAGTTTGGGGAGATTTTGGAAGCCGTAGTCATTACCGACAAGTCCTCCGGCAGATCCAAGGGTTATGGATTCGTACGTTTTTATATACTACTCCTTGTTTCTCTCCTCCATGTATATATATGTAGAAAGATAGAGAGAGAGAGTGTGTGTGTGACTTAAAAAGGGGAATAGTAAGTAATTAAAGTGGTGATGACCAATGATCAGGTGACATTTAGGGAGGCGGAGGCGGCGAGGAGAGCTTGTGTGGATGCTACTCCGGTGATCGACGGGAGAAGAGCTAATTGCAATCTTGCCTCTCTTGGTCTTCAAAGATCCAAACCCTCCACTCCTAACCATGGTTCATATATATCATCCCTCTCTCTCTTTAGATAGTGCTATATGCAAGTTAGATCAAGAAAAGAGAAAAAAAAAAGGATAACTCTTAAGTTAATATATATATGGTTAGTGTCCATACAAAGTTTGGTTTTATGCTAACAAGAAATGATTTGTGTGACCAAAGTATCGAAATTAATAACGTTAATATATAGTTGGTGATTGATGATATTGGACCATTGTGTCGATCATGGGTGATGATGACGATGTTTTAAAATGTGTTAGGAGGAGGAGGCAGGATTAACAATATGAGAGTGATGATGGGAACAATGCAGACTGGTTTTGGACCACCTCCACCTCCACCACCACCACCACCAACCTTCCCTCATTATCCCCACCTCCCTCTCAATCTCTTTGGGTATATACTCTTCTTTTTCTTTTCTTTTTTTCCATGTAAATGATCATGATGATAGTACATGCATGCATCAAACATAACATGATTAATTATGATACCATTTGAGACCAAAAGAATGCCAACTCATACATGTCAATGCAATTGCATAAACATAGCTGGCTGTCCTCTAATGTCTCCATTTTGATTTGTGGACCGACACTATTATTACAATTTTAGTAGTAATAGATAGATTTACATAACTCTCTCTTTTTTTAAATAAAAATCTTCATCACAACTCTATGGAGTTAAATGACTGACAAAGTGGTCAACGGACAGCTTGTAAAAACTAAAAACTGTACTGACTGATTCCAATTCCATCTTTCACCAATCATTTTACTCTCTCTCTCTCTCACTCACATGCTTCCTTCTGTACCTCTTGTGTGTCATGACCACGTGCCACGTGCATTCATCTTTGTTGTTGTCACTCTTAAAAGTGTAAAGACACATTGATTTGATATTCGCAGGTACTCTCCATACTCGCCAGATTACTCATCATTCCCTACGGTCCGTCGCTTTTTTCCCTACTCTGACTCACATAAGAGTTTGTATAACGAACTGAAGAATCTTTATTTTTTTATGTCTAGTAACAGTTAAGCTATACTTTGGTTTATTCAGTATCATATAACATAATCTTAATCTAATTAATTAACATGATGTGTCGCGCAGAGCTTATACGGTGTGTACGGCTGTAATTCAGGAGGGCAATATGGAGTATACGGAAATGGTGGAGGCGGTGGACTAACGGCAGCAGCCGCATCCGCTGCTCCTTTTTATCCTTGCGGTGGTGGCAGTGGTGGAGTCCACTTCTCTCAGCCACAACCATTTTATCATCACTTGTCTTCTTATAACCCTCACCATTACTCTCCTCCGACCATCTCTATGCAACAAGGTTCGTAATAATGATAATAACATATATTATAAACACCAAAGCCAAAAGAGATACTGTACATACGCTAATATTGTTGACAGTGTGTTTTGCTGTGCCACAGGTGTAACAGGCTTTCCCCTTCAGCCACCTCTCATTCCTTACCGTTAATGAAGCTTAGAGTCTTTGGTAGCTATCAAGCTTCACATCATCATAATTATCTTCTTCTCAAGTCAAGAGCCAATCTATGGTTTACTGGATGCTCTCTGGCTAATCTCAACACTTTTTTTTCTCCCCCTCTGCTCTAAAAGCCACCCCATTTTATGGAATTTGAGGTGGTTTTTTATTTGCAGACCCCAATGGGATCTCCAATTTTAGATGGTGGTCATGTCGTATCTCACCTTCTTGCAACTGCATCTTCTCGAGAGAATGGATTTCTCTTTAGAAATATTGCTAATGGAGCATCATCATCAATCAATCATGTGCCATACTCAAGCTGATGCATGTATCAGCTTAATTTGTTATGTTGTTTAGCCTCGGGATGGCTAATCAACAAGACAAAACAAAATGTCTGTTAGGATTAATGTAAAAAAAAATCAAGCACCAAAACCATGTGCTGTTTGAAAGTCTGAAAAAATGATTGCATATGAAGCAAAATGATCAGCACAAAAACCCTGCAAGCCTTTTTGTTGCATCATCATGTTAGTTAGTCTTAGTAGCTTAGGTCCTCACGTATCAGATTTATATTTCTTAAATAAATTGCATTATTGAATGTCTATGTTTACTACTACTGGTTAAAAACTTTTTGGGGAGTAACATCTCATAACCCCCAACGCCTACAATACTAAGCCACATATACAAACTTCATGCCAAGGATGCAACTATCGGGAATCAGAACAGTACCTGATAGGGATATATGTATTGACTTCATCTTGGTTTGAACCTTTCTTGTCTGATTCGAGTTATCTTCACTTTCTGTTGATGTCTGTCCTTATAACTTCATCTTGGTTTGTACCTGTAAACAAAAGATTTATATTGAAGAGAAATGACCCACTGTATTTCTCAAGTATCTCAAACTGATTCAAGTATTCCCAAATGTATTTTCACAACTTCTAATGTTGTCTGACTTAAGGGCTAAAAAAATAAAGACATGGTTGTGTGGTACAGTCAACATCTTGCGAGAAAATTGTAAACTATCCATATCACCATATTGTAAGAAATCACTAGTGGAAAGATATTTTCTACAACAGATACTCCTAAAATCAACTCCATGTCTCTAGGGATCACTGAGATCTGCCATAAAAAAACAACACTAAACACTTAAAATTTTCCATATGGCATACAAAAGAAGTGACTTAAATGACAATGTATCAAATAGGATCCATGAATGAGAAACTATAAAACCTAGATGATTCCTACAAGTTAGATCCATGATGACGCGAGGCGCGAGCACACTCGTTAATAAGCTAGAACCCTCAACTCACATTTGGTAACAGAATCGAAGTTGAAGCAATGCTTCGATTAACTAATGTTAGATGTTGAGGGGTTCTAACTTCTTAACGAAGGGCGCTCGCTTCATTGCCACGATTAACCAACTAAATGAACTCATTTGCAGTGCATCAACGGCAAAACCAATCAGATGAAAAAGAAGAAGAAGAAACGTTTGGTTGCTTGGATATCGAATCAAATGAACTCTCAGACCTTCTTCTCCAATAAAACTACACTTAGGCAAACATTGGGCCGGAAACAGGTTCATTTTAGGGGTAAACAAAGCGGGTCGGGTTATATTGGTGAAGGCCCAAATAGGTCTTTATGTCCGTCCATGTTGTGGAAGCTTTCTACGTTGAAATGCAGAATTCTTAAACCCCTTCTAGTACATAGACTGATAGACAGAGTGTCTTGTTGTAATGGACTAATAAGTTGTAGCTTTCTAACAATAGAGATGCTCTTCAAACCATAAATGTGAACAAACAACAGAGAGGTAAAAAGGTTCAACGTTCCTGTGACGATAGCTGAATTTTCAAGTGATGAAACAGCTTTCTTGTGTAAGAGACTTGATTTTAAAACCTATCTTCTTTCTGTTCTTATCATTGTTGCTTCATTCTTTGGATAACATTTGTATGGTTGTGTCAAAAGCACATGGTTCCTGTATCAGTCTTACAATCTTCAAGCAACCGCAACTGTGAATTAATTTTTCAACTATATTGCCAGGAATGAATGAAGTCGATAATTGGAATTTGGTTTCATAGGAATGCTCTTTGTATGTGGAATTACCCATTCCGTTAATTAAAGATGTTTAAAGGCAAAAACATAAAATGCTCTTAGTCATGTTAATGCCATTTAGTAACCCAAAGAGCTTGTCTGAAGCAGATACTACACTAGAGAGATAGGAAACAATGTGCATTGCCTCATAAACCGGGTCAAAACAAAAGTCAACTTGCACAGAAAAAATAAACAAAAGAATAATCAACTTCACGATGTGATCATAGGCTCCGGATCAGATGGGTCACTGGAAGGTTTGTTGGACTGACGTGAGGAATTGAACAAGATGTCTTTAATAACCTGCATATCGATGGATGAAAGAGTTGAGCGAATCTTATGGATCCATGAACCACAAAAGGATAGATAGTATCAGCATGTCAGAATGTATTTAGTATTTACTCACCTGTGACATTAGCCCGTGAACCTGCTCCACCGTTATCTTTGCACTATCCCGGGTTATCTTAGCTAGCTGAGACTCATCCTGAAAGTGATCCAAAACACATCTGCTTAGACTTTTGGAATCTCACAAATGAAAGTCACATGTCAAGAGATAATAGATCTCTAGGAAGCAGATACAGACTATTGGCTACAACTAGTTGGAATGAATTAACACATCAAAGTCAATTTAGTGCAAAATTTAACAACTCTGGATATTTTTCGACTAAACAAACACCCAACTGTGAAATCCCACAACCAGACAAGGTGAACCATATAGTGTTTGTGCAACTAGAGAGTTTCTATGATCCGTTTCTATCCAGCCAACATACTGCCTGAGAATAAAGAGTTCAAACGTTATCTATCGAGCTACAACTACCAATCCAAGTCGCTGGATGTTGATAGTAGCACTTATTTTACCAAGTGTTAAGTTTCTAGATAAGAAAAAGCTTGATAAGTGGCATCTATGAGAGCTCAAACTCATGGTCCTATCTAAGACAATCAATAAATATTGAAAACATAGCAAATAAATTTGTTATAGCCACCATTTAGACAGACCTCTTTTCTCCTTTGGAAACCGGCTGGTGCAAGTGATCCAAACTTGGAGTGAGAGAGCTGACTCTCTGCTTGCTCAAGCTTCTCAGCTTCATCAGTAAAAGATTAAATGGTAAGAAAAAGGAAAATATTAAATCGCGACCTGGATAGAAAGTAAATTTAACAAGCTCTTGCATATTCAAGAATTTACCCAAGTCTGATATTTGTCCGGCAACATAGTCTCCATTGCCCAGCAGTGGGGAAGAAGAAAGAGTGTTCACCCAGTACTTGTTCCAAAGGAGATCCAAAAGGTGACTATCAAGAGACGACTTGAAATAAGTGATGTCCAATGAATAGTACTGCCACATACCAAAAAAAATCAATCATAAGAGCGATGATCTAAGCCTCCAAGATTAAAAATCAATAAATGCAAACGTTTTGGTACCTGTTTGCAATGCACACCAAAGTCCTCAATCTTGTTAAGAGGGATAGTCTGGTACTCAGAAACATGATCATCTGATATCTTATGTCCCTCTGGATATGTTCTGAATGCCCCAATTTCAACCTTACCAGCCGAAACAGTCCTTGTTGGATCAATGACAACAGCTAAGAAAGGTTCCTGATACTGTTGGTTAAGCATCTGCGTTGAAACATCAATACCCGAGAGCCAGCACCCATACCCAGGGTGAGAGTGATACCATCCAACAACGTTCTCCAACCTTCCAGCCTATAGTTCAAGTTACAGAAATAACCAATCAATCAAACAATCTGAAAAAGCATCATAACAAATAAACAAAACAAAAAAAAATTACAGAATCGTTAAGCTTCTACAGAAATATGATAACACACCAGCCAAAACTTGCATAAAAGATCAGAACAAGTATCAACAGTTCAAAAGCAAATAGCTAAATTAAGTTCTGTGGCAGGCATCAAAAGGTAATTTAAACAAGAATCACTTAAAAGGGAATCTCTAAAACCCTAAAATACGATAAATCCAGTAGGAAGAAAAAGAAACCCTAGACCATCAAGGAGCTAGATAAGAGAAAAAAAATTACCAGCTTGTTGGTCTGAGAGTATTCAACCATGTACTCGTAAGCATCAGCCTGAGCATTAACCCTAGTCTCAGTTCCTTCAACAGGCAAAGCAAAAGCATCCATAACGATGATAGTATCACCATCGGTCTTCCCCTGCATAAGACCCATGATTTCGATTGTGCCACCAGAGCGAGCGTGAACAACCATCTTGAGAAGAGCGAGAGCTGAGATTTGGACGCGCTTGAAGTAGTTAGGATCGGAGGCCCACGGCTTCTCCTGCTGGATTTTGGCTTGTGCAGCATCGTCGTAGTGGAATATGCCATCGGAGGCTGAATCTGGTGGCTCCACGGTTAGAATGTTGTTCTCCAGCTCCCATGTCTTCTTCGCGATGGCCGACGATGAACCCTCCATTGAAAATCGAAATCAAAGAGTAGAAGAAATCTAGGGTTTTTGCTGATTTTGGGTTTTTGAGTATCGAACGAAGAAGAACAGTCTGATTTGTATTATATAAGATTTTGTCGAATCGGTTTTATATAAAGTGAAGAGAGCTTTTTTTTCTTGGTTTCGTGGGTTAAACCCGTTTGCGAGTTGCGGCACCTCTCTTTATATATTTTTGGATTTGATGGACTTATGCAACCTTAATTAACCCATATATTTTAAACTTTTAGATTTTATCTCTTTAATTTTCTATTCCTAATCATCGTTTAGATCTTTTTTGAAAAAATATTTAATGGAAATTTTACTCATGAGTCAATAAATTCACCGAGATATTTTTCCTTTTTGTATTTTTTTTCTTCAAGTTTTAACTTTTTTGAAAATCAATGTTTTGCCAAACTAGAATTTAGTTATTACTGTATGTACCAGCCAATATTTAGTGTGACATCTTAGAATTCCTGTTCTAGGTATTGAGACCAATGAGTTTGATAAAATTTAAAAGAATCTTAAATGCTAATGTTATTTAATAAGACCTTTTAGAAATTCTTTTAAAAGAATGTTTAAAAAAACAAAATAAACATCTCACCATTCCTCAAAAATATAGTTTGTGATGGATTACACTTTTCGACGATTTCACATACACAAAGATGGCGTGTTTAACCTGCACGTCGCTACACACTATGTGAATCGTGCAAATTATTGACTAGTGAAACAATTCATATGCCTCACACAAATTTGGTAATCTGGTATCAATACTCGATTAAAATAAAATTCTATTACTATTAGACTAAAATATAATCATATACTGTGATGCAGTATATTTTCATTCTATACCCACCTCATCTCAAAATACCATTATGTGATTTTAGCATCTAATATGATCTCCCTATGATAGAACTCCGATGAAGGCTGAAGATAGGTGATAGGCGACGTGACTTTGTTGATGATGATGGGCGATGAACGTGAGTGATGATATGAGAAGATTGAATGATGAAACAATGGTTTGATGGAAATAGATGTTTAGGTGGTTGTATGGATTGTAACAATGAAGAGTTTCTGAATCACAAATTGT